TTGTGGGTCCACCCCTCTCACGTCCTCCATGGAGGGACCCGCCACATGCCCGGGCTGGGTGCCCGCTGCCTCTTCTCCAGACATCAGGGAGTCTAGAACCCAGAGCTGGGGGTGGGGGGTGGCCCACCCGGGCTGCTGGTTCAAGATATGGCTTTCCCTCTAGATGGAGATCGGGCACGTGAGAATCCGGTTTTCGAGGAGGACGCTGAGCACGAGGAACACGAAGTAGAGGCCGAACATGATGAAGCCCAGCACTTTGTTCATCCGCCACTTGCAGAGGGCGATGGAGAGGATGACGAAGAGCAGCATGATGAAGAGCAGGACGATGGCACAGAAGAGGCCGTTGCTGCTCACGGCCACCGGCCGGAACCTGTGGATCATGGTGTACAGGAGCCAGGGCAGCGGGAGCCTGCGGGGAGAGGGCAGGGTTGGCAGGGGGCAGGCAGACAGGGTGAAGGAGGCAGGTGAGGTTACCTTAGCTTCGTGGAGTCTATACTGGGAAAGGGGAGTCTTGTTAGGCTCACTATGGCTTGGGCATGGCTGGCCCGGAAGTCACAAAGGAAGTCAGGCGAGTTTTAAAAACCTTTATCTACGTCCCCACCGAGTGAGGGAGCATGGAGAGAATGTGTTCTCCACTAGGATCCGATCTAAGACATGACTGCGGCAGGCGATTTCTGAATTGGTTTTGAAATAATCTTCGCTAGTTGAGATGGAAATGTCACTCTCAGACCTCCAGGGGTGACCTGGAGCATTCGGGTGAGAGGAGGAGAAGACAAATGGAGAAAAGATATGGAAATCAGCAGTGAAGATGGAAGAGTTATTCTTTCTAAATGGAGAGAGAAATGGCAATGGCTTCATTAACCTAAAAAGCTAGTGAAGATGAATGCTGATGGTGGGACCAATGCCATGGAGCTGCCTGAAGTTTTGTTGGAAAAGATGGGACACCCTTTTCACTAAAAATGACCTTTCTGAAAGGTCTGAGGAAGACAGTATCTTACATTAGTGATGTGATTTTAAAAAAACTTTATTATGGATTTTTATCCCCGTTCTCTCCTTTGCATTTGGCTTAACATATGGAACCATCTTTTGTTTCCTAACCAGAATGGCGACTCTGAAGACAGGAGAGGAGCTAGCTGCCAGGTGCACCATGAGAGTGGGCTAGACCCCTCTGGAGGGAACATGGCTGGAAACGTGGACTCTGGGGAAACCGAACCCTGCCACCCAGGGGCTGAGCCCTCTGCACAGCCTAGGGCTCAGGGAGGTTCCGTTTCGGCCTGGCCGCAGCTGTGTGGAAGAGGAAGCACCCTCTCCGAACACACGCTCTCCAAAGGAGAAGCACGGAGCTTGAGAGAAACAATGAGCAAAGGGACAGTGAGTTTACACCCGGCTCCTCCGCTGGAGAGAGTGCATGTGAAGATAGAGCCCATACGTATGTATCTTTGAACTCCCAGAGCCTGGCACATGCGGGCCCCCATTCAGAAACATGTGTTAACCTGGGCCACGCTGAAGTGGTTGATAACTGCCTCATGGTGATCAGTTACAGGCACTTTGCTCACAGAAGCTGTCTAGGAGGTGCTTACTTCAGTGGAGATGTCAGGAGGGGAGGGTTCCACTCAGCCACTGCAGGGAATGGGGGCAATTCCAGCTCTCGGCAGGAGGGGGCACCCCGGCACCCTGCCGTCAGCAATGGGAAGTCAGAAAAGGGGAGGGGAGCGCTGGTGTCGATGATACCAAAACCTCTCCTGGGACTTGCCCTGGGCAATTCTATTTACACACTTTCCCTAGCTTGTTAAGCCACACACACACACACACACACACACACACACACACACTCAGAGTAGTTCTGGTAAAGAGGTGGTCAATGGCACCACAAATAGGCAAAAACCCTTCGGGGAAAAATGACATTTTTCATACCTTTGACCTATCAGTTCTATTGTCGGGGATGGAGCATAGTGAATAATTCAAAATGCAGATATAACTTTATCAAGAAAAATGATAATTTGTGTTATTTTGAGTAGTGAAAAACTGGGTATACCTTAAATCTCTAATAATAGGGAACTTGTTTTTTATTTTTATTTTTTTTATTGCTTATATTACAAAGGGTATTACATATGTGTCCATTTTTTCCCCCCGCCCTAGACAGTCCCCTAGCCTCCCCTATCCCCCAGTGTCTTATGTCCATTGGTTATGCTTATATGCATGCATACAAGTCCTTTGGTTGATCTCTTACCCCCCTACTTCCTGCCCCCCAACCCTCCCCGGCGGGAACTTGTTAAGTAGTGATGAATTATCAGTGATTTGTATTTATGCTTTATATGTATTGTCTAAATCCTTTCCATGAATATGTAATAATCTTAAGTAAAAAGAAAATAAAAGCAAGACTACGAACTTTTACCAAAACATTGTAAATTGGTATAAACTCTTGGGAAAGACTTTTGGGAAAATATACATCAATAGCTATTAAGATGCTCATAATCTTTAGCTCATCAATATTTCTTGAAAGAATTTATCCTATTTAAAATGATTAAAAGAGGAGTTTTTTTCTGCATAAAACGGTTCATAGAAACACTCATAATAGCAGGAAATTAGAAAATATAGAAAGGCCTTACTAAAGGATAATGGTTAAACTGAAAAGCAACAGCATGGGATATTTTAGAGCCATAAAATGTTAATTATGAGAGCTATGAAGAAGCTTAGAAAAATGGCTGATTTACTAATTTGCTAATAGATGCCTACCCCATGCCAGGCATAAATGCCTTTAAAATGGAAAAAGAAAAGCCCTCTAAGAAGATAAAACTGAATATTCCCTAAGAAAACTGAAATATTTGGAAGAAAACATACAAAAGCTAATGTTGTTCTTGGGTTACTACTGGATTAGGGGTGATTTTTCTTTCAACTTTCATTTGTTACTAAATATACAATTTAAGAACTATGAACAAAAAACATTTTGCGATTTCCTAGAATATTTATTTTTAAAAAACTTGACAAATATGACTTAGAACACTTGTAACTTTCCCCAGTTTTTAGAATTTTCTCTTTTATACTATAGAACATTTTGTTTTCCCTTTTACAAGAGATTGGCCAAGAAAACTACTCTAGTGTAGGTAGCTGAACTGAAAAATACTATTTATATCAGGGATACCCTTCCTTTGAAACACACCTTTCAAGGCATCTGTCTGTCTGTCCATCCATCCATCCATCCATCCATCCTGCAAACATTTGTCTAGCCACTACTATGCATTAGGCAATGTATTAGGCTTTGGTGAGTTCTTGCTCTCGGGGCATTCGGTTTAGCCAGCAGACTGATGTACATGACCATGACAAGAGTTCAGGCCCAAGAGAACCAGAGAAGCCCTTATTTTAGTTGGCATTGGAAGGATATGTTGGAGTTTTCCAGGCAGGGAGGGCTCTTGAGTGACAGGGGCCAGTCAAGAAAGGAAGTATGGCAGGAGAGGGCACCTTTAGAACTTAAAGGTGGTTTAGACAGTGGAAGCTCAAAGCAGGATTTCTGTACAGATAGTCTACATTTGAAAGCACAGACTCTTCAGATCCCAGCTACCTCTTTTACTATGAACTCTGCACCCTTCAGTTTCCTTATCTGAAAAACAAGGATGATAAAATACCTTATGCATCTCTGTGTGGGTCAAATGGGTAAAAATGTATGTACAATGCACATCGTAGACACTGAATGAAAAATTACTATCATATATATTAGGTGATGGAGAGGTGTAAGAGAGAACAATATCCAAAGTGTTCAATGAGAGAGCAGATCCGTTTTAGCGAGTTTCCAGATTCAAGTGTCAAGAGCCCAGTTCTCCTGGGAATACAGGAGAACACCCCATGTTTTACCTTCTCAGGGGGCTGCCACTGAAGGCTATTCATCAGACTAACTTTACTTTTGACTGTCACATGAAATGACAGAAGTAACAGCCCCCTCCCCAGTGTGAGCCACTTCTGAGGTTATTCCCATTGGGAACTCCAGTCTGCTGAACTGTAAGACTTTCAAAACACCTAGCACATCTTCACCAGCACAGATACACAAATGATAATGCGAACCTGCTAGCCCTTTCTGAGGAAGGAGATGAGATATTTTTGCCGGGTCTCTGTTTGTTCCAATCTGCTTTATAATCCAAATCTTACCTGAGATCTATAGGGACTTTATTTAGAATTAGAATATGAAAAAACATATAGTGAAACTACTAGATCATCTCAGACATGCCTGACTATTGAATGATCACATAACATGTAGCCAATGCAATCACAGAAGTGAAATTCTCTTAAAATACTTCCTACAACATTCACTCTGTACGCAGGTATGTGTTCCTGCCTGTCTAGGGATAACTTATTCCTCATTAAGTTTTCTGAAAATGAAAAATGGAATTGGTGACACCAAATGGTACTCTCTTTACTTCCTACTCACATCGGTTAGTGTTGGGCTCAGAGATCCTGGTCATGTCTTCACAGAAGCAAAGACAGCGATGAAGCTGATGTGCATCTTTACAGAACGGTCTCTACTTACCCTACGGTGATGTCAAAAATGTTGCTTCCGACAGAGCTGGATACAGCCATGTCCCCAAGCCCCTTCCGGGCCACTATGACACTGGTGATAAGATCAGGGATGGAGGTCCCAGCAGCCAAGATGGTCAGACCCATAATCTCCTCACTAATGCCAATTGTCTCTCCAACCTGAAAGTGAGGACAGGGACAAACATGTGAGAGTTTGTAGTCACAAAACCACTCAAACCACAAACATTTCAATGCAACACCCTTTTAATGAGTTCCTCCTCTGGGCTGTGCTGAGCACTAACATGATAAAGAGGAATAAGCTACAATCATTGCCATAGAGTTTA